CGTGGCGAATAAAAAAAAAACCGTTCACATCAAAAACATTGTCTACATGAAAATAAAAAAGAGGTGGATACGATTCATAGTTTCAAACGAATCCATTTTTTTCGTCGCTCATTTTTTTTTTGTTGTTGTTGATTATATTTTTAGCTGGAAATATAAAAGCCACAAAAAACAGATTTTCGAAATGCGCACGTCTTCCATTTGAGTCTTTCTGCGCCCTATTATTCGTCATTATAAAATAACAAAAAAAATAGATATATTTTCTTCTCCGTTACTTTAATTCTCGGTGGTTTTTTTTTTCTATTGTGTTTTCTTTGAATTTTTTTTACTTAAATTTTCGTTTCTTCTTTCTTTTCCATTGCTTTTCTATGACGATTGAAATAACACAGTCTAACAAACATAAGAACGGAATACCGTGTATTCAATATATTTTTGCTGGTTCGTCTCTTTCGATGTGTTTGTATTATTCAGAAACCGTTTAGATAAAAATTTAACCGAAATTGGTCAATTATGTTAATTTTTCTGTTTGCAATCCGCACACACATACACAAACACTATGTATGCGTACACAACCTTAAAACTAAAAACAAAAAAAAGTGGCAGCTAACAAAGAAAACGAGATGGTGAAGACGATCGACCGACCACAAATTATTTATACGTAGCGTAATTATTTTAATTTCTTTAAAAAGTCATCGTTTTTCCCTTTCGCGTTTGCCATATAATATCATTATTGACGTTGGGCCGTCGAAGAAAAATGGCAAGTGAGAGTCGGATACCTATCACCCGTGACACACAAAAATGCGCATATTTTCAACAGCACACATGAAATGGAAGGGAAAAAAAATTGAGCCAATTTCAACGGATATGAGAGCGTTTGTTGTGAATGATGAAAGCAAATATTATAATTTGACTATCGTTAAGCAGAGAAGTTGGATTGAACGGCCGCCTTTTTAAAAGCCATCTTTGTTGGCTGGTCTCTCTTCATTTGAGATAGTAAACCAACAAATTGTTTCGGGCGATGGATAAAATGCTGAAATCGAACATAAACCAAAAACTCAACCCAGCAATTTGAATAAGATGCAGAATTTTGAGAAGCCGTTAGCCAGTGTATCAATCTATAATTTAGCCATGGTTTTGATGTCGATAAAAAATCGAAAGATTTGCTGTCGATCGAATCGCTGCGATCAATCAAATTGAAGGTACCCTTCCGCAATTATCCTGTCGTCCAATCAGAAGCCGATTCGAGAGAATACCACAACGAACGAAAACCAAAAACAAAAACCTTTTCAATCGACTTTGGCATATCGATCGAAAGACGTAATGTGGAAAGGAGAGTCTTTAGCAAACGTCCACCATAAAAGATTAACAGAAGAGAACTGGCTTTAGGTTCTATTTTTATTTATATAAAAAAGAAGAATATTTCAATGCAATCGCAACCAAACGGAGAGAAGGACGTTTCAAGCAATTTAATGGAAGTTAAACGCTTGAAATAAACTGCATTTTAATCGTAATTGTCAATTGTTGCCATTTAAGCGAATTGAATCATAAATGTCAATGCAATTTATTTTGATTGAGGCCTCAATGAACGGCTGAAAATGCATTTGCATTGTAAATTATATCACATTTGTTGGACGACGTTCTACCCCCTTCTCCTCCTCCTCCTCTTCCTCTCTCTCTCTCTCTCTCTCTCTCTCTCTCTTTGCTCAACTGGATTTTGCAGTTTCTGTGTAACTTTTGCGTACATCTGAATAATTTTCTTCAATAAATTTAACCTTCGCTCAACAAAATTGTCCATGGAAAAATTTGTCACAAGTATTTTTACGATCTACACTTAAAATTTCATCCATATTTCTTTTACGTTCTTCAGAACTGCAGCAGAATGCTGGAAAATATTGCATATGCGAACACGATCGAGAGGATGAAAAGCATGGTGGATAACACGAAAATAATTAAAATCGTACGTAGGTAATTCTCTATCGAAATTCAAAAATACATAAACATGAACAAACGAGCTAAGAAAGAAACAACACTGTATGCACCGTTTGTAAGGTGTGAAAAGTAGCAAAAAGGCAGAAAAAAAAACAATTATTTTTGCTTGTACAACATATTATTTGCCCAAGGTTTCGTTGTGATCGCAGTTATTTAAGCAGTTTTTTCGTCAATGTATGCATCGAGAGTTGCAATGAAGATAACGGCTACAGACTATCGTGTGAACAAGCAACTAATTTACGAAAAGGCACATTTTTGTTACACCGACACAAATTTTTCTTTGTGACAGACAATTTTCCGGGGATCGAATGTTCCATCTCTACATTGGTTGAAAACGTCATCAAAAAAGTTTTGTAGGTTAGTCGGAATAAGTTCGATTTGCATGAAATACAGTAACGGTTCGTGGTTGGTTTGTGCAAGTATATTATTTGCACGAAACTGAAACCGAATCAAAATTGATGCGAGTGAGAGAAAGAGTTACTTAGTCGATAGATTTGCTCTACACGCACGACCCAGAACCGAGAGCTGAACGAGCCCGAAAGAAAACACTGTGTTTGTGTGATCATGGTCATGAATGAAATTCTATGTCTCTTTGCCGTGAACAAAATTGTGGGACAATTGTGGAATTCGAGGTGGTGCGCAAAATGCGAGAGAGCATTTCGTGGTGTGTGTGAGTGGCGTCTTGCACGCGTCCATATCATATATTCACACGCACAAGTGCATACGAAAAGATCATCGGTTCTAGGCATTTTCATGCTAACTTGCGTGCAGTCGACGATTTCAAAAGGAAAATATCCGATTTGGAATCGTGTGATCATGAAAACCCAAACCATTTTATACACACGTTAAACAAAAAAGCAAAACAAATAAACATTCGTATGAGTGGGTCTTTTCCCTTTGTAGTATGGACTGCTGCTGTTCGATTATTCTACGCACTGAAATTCTTTTGATTGATAAAACAGCTTCAATTGTGGAAAATTGAATGAAGTGGCACACACACACACATATCTTCATGTTCACCGCCGAAAGATTACTCGACCTGTTTGTGTTGCATGTTTGAACTGGAAAGTTAAACGACATTTTCCTTTTTTTTATACATCGCCTGACACACAAATTTTGCTCATACAATAACCAGCCAACCAACCAACCAACCGACCGGGGCTCGTTCACATTCGCCTGCTCAATGAACTGATAAGTCATGAAAAGTTCCATGTCGTCTCGAAACTGTTCGCCATTCAGAAGCATTTCTCAATCTTTTAACATAACGATTATGGCGTAGATAAATCAGCTGCTATTGTGTTCGTGCTCCGCTTCCTACTCGACGTTCTGTGTGCACTTTGACTGATCTTGATATAAACGTGGTGGCGTCAGTGATTTTTAATTGCTTCGAATATTCACTCATTTCAATTCTGTTAATCTTCTCTCCTCTTGCGCTCAAATATCTCTCAAGCTTTCATTTCATTCCACTTGCACAAACTTGCACGTTGTTATTGTTCTTTTAGCCAAAGCATATAATTTTCGATTTCCTTGGAATTATTTTTTTTTGTTCTCGTATTATCTTCATTATGATCAGGAGCGAGTAGTTTTTGTGTTGCTCAAATGCTGAAAATGGGAAGGAAAATTACTAATTTAAAAATTTATTTCAATTGCTACTTGTTTCTATTTTGTGTTTGGTTTCAAGTGATAAAAATTGTAAGTAAATTATCATTCAAATTAAGCGATTGGGAAAAACAAAAGCAATGGTCATAGCTAGGCATGGCATTTCAATAGCAGCGTTTCATTATGAAATGCAGTATGCTGAGAGTTATTAACTTTACACACACACACTTCCAGTCAGCATGATTCTACATTGAACACAAACTGGAATTTTCCCCTATTGCACATGTATAATGCATTCAAGCCGTGTGGACGTGTGAAATAGCACGATTCCGTTGATTGGTGCGAAAGAGTGCAATACATGTGCACGCTTCATTCAACGCCGCACAATCGCTTTAACCTATGAACACACATTCACACACACACACACGCTCGTAACACAGTAATGTGCTGTCGGCCTCTTCACCTATTGAACACTAAGAAAACATTCTATTCAAGTGTTCGGAGGCGTGGTTAATAGTTCTGAATCGAATATTCTCTATGGACTTCCGAAAACCATCGACATCATAACCTCGAGGTGAAAGGATGCTGTGCATAGATGTGAATTTTTAACATATCATTGAACATTTTTGCATCATTAAATCAGTTCTAGTGAGCCAAAACTCACAGTACGTTTGAATTTATTTCACCTCTGAATAGATTTGAGATAAAAAAGTCTTTTTTGTCTTTTAATTATACTTTTGAATGAAAATGAATTTTTGAATGCCAGAAAAATGCCGTGAAAAAAAATATGATACAAGCAAAACCTCCCATTCAATCTAGCTGTTGTTTAGTGGCGCTCGTGGAATTTCAATAGATCTGTACGGCAGTTGAAGCTATTGTTGAGATATTCACACCGTTTGAAGAAGCTTTCCCAATGACACACTGCCTACCACTGGAAGTATTTCATGATAGTGTTATTATTGCCTTCTACAGCATACACAGCATAACATCGTATGTTTTTTTTTTCCTTCACAATTTAAGTTTATTTCACTCTATCCTGCGCCGCACCGTGTGTAGCAAACACAAAAACGCAACACCAACATCGTCATCGTCGTCGTCGTTGTTGTGGTCAGTCTATGTTCGGCAATCGTGTTTATTCAACACATGTTCGTACCGTGGTCTTCTCAAGCACAACGAGCAGCATATGTCTTTGTGTATGTGTGTGTGCGTGCGCGATGTATATTCTTGTCTTGGTATACTTCTCTCCCTATTCACATTGTTCGTTGTGGTTTGTTGTGCTTTTCTCTTTCTAGCTCGCATGCAATTATGTGTCAGGCGCCCACAATTGATTAATAAGCTATAGCATCGACCAAACACAACACACACCTTTGCTACACACTAAAAATCCATCCGTTTCAGTTCAGTTGAATGTTTCGTTGAGTTCGTACATGTCTAATATCAATAAGCACTCTCGCCAAACTGAATTTGTTTTTCTTCTTTTTCAAATTTTTTTTTTTTGGGGGGATTTCGTTGAAACAACAAATTGCTTTGGAGTAATCGACGCATCGCTGATGTGTTGCCTCTTGCCATTTGATTTGGCGATTTATTATGAACATTGAACCACTTCGAATTTTATCGATCAGTGAACTGTGCAGAATTAAAGTGACAATTTTCAAATTCAAAAAGTGCAGAATATTTTTCTTGGTGTGAGTATTTGAATGATTGTCAATAGAAAAGCCGTTCAGATTTCGTGATTGTGTGTAAAATGTGATGAACTGAAATCAAATGAAAACTTGAACACGATCCTAAATAGTTTGATCAAATTGAAAAACAAACGAAAATCTTATAAGATTTTTCGTTGTTGGATTTTTTCTTCGCCGTGGAGTTGTATGAAATCATTGTGAATTGTTTAATGTGTCACGAAAAAAGAAAACTTGAACTCCCGACGGCATTGCAGAATGCTGTTGCGCAAACAACCATTTGAATTCTAACTCCGAACTCGACACAACATTTGTTGATTTTTTGCTTGAAAATTGAAGTGTGAATTAATTTCGAATCTCTCATCATTCGAATGGAAATTATCGCGTTTCACCTGAAAATCTGAAATAATTTATAGATTCATTTTCATCCAATTATTTATTGTGTTTCGAGGCTAGACTTCGATATTTGAACATTTCGGGGTGTGACCATCAGCCCATGTTAATTTGAAAGAAAAAAAAATGAGTTACTTTTGGTAAAATTAGATTTTGTGCCCGAGCGATAGTCAGTCATTAGACTAAATCATTGCATAGGGTATTGTTATCGAAATACTATAATTTAATGTAGCAGTGTCAAGCTCATTAAAATTCTCATCAGCTAACTTTCCGATGTTGGTGTCGGAAACCGATACATCTCATTACGCGAAACAATTACGACACCATTGTTAAATGAAGTATTGATTGAACTATCATGCTGTGGCTATTCTTCATGCAATGCTGAGTTCACATATCCTTTCCATTTAAAATAATCATATGTCAAAAAGTAAAAAAAAAATATTCGAAGATTGGATTAATAATAGGAATTATATTCGTGGTGCGACTGATGTCTACGAATTTTCTGCATCTAAAAGCGTTGAAAAGATCAAATAAAATACTTGGTGAAAATTAATGTTATCAATTATTTCAGAGGTGATACTTATACATCATCGAACAAAGACGAGTTCTCGAAAAAAAATTAGCTGGAAAAAACATTTTCTGAGAGAGAAAAAGAAAAAAAGAAGAAGAAGAAGAAGAAGGAGTAACATTATAGTGTGACAAAACCGTGTGATCATCCGAAAATACGAACGAATCGTAACATCGATAACTGTGAATTGCGTGGCATTTGACACTGTATTTAAAACCATTTCGGTATAGTGGGCGGATAGCTAATTGCCCAAAACGGTGTCAGAATTTTCATCTAAACACAATTTTTCGGCTGTTAAATGACATAATTTCATCGTTTCCAGCTCTATAGACTGAATTTTTGTTTGCATGTTTGACGCGTGAACAAAAACTCAAAACCATTGAATGTGAAAACCGAACAGAACTACCGTTCAATTATTTGGGTGATATTGAATAGACAGCAGTTCTCTGTGTGTAGCTGCACGAGAAACATTCTTAAATTAAAAAAAAAATTGTGTGATTGAAACCGAGTAAATTTCTTCTTTTTTTTTTATCACACTGGATCCAGTGAGAAAAAATGGTTTTATCGATACAACATCAACGATCGATGGCCGGTTAACGGCTGTCGCATCCGCTCCATGCATGACCACAATCAATTCAAACTCGATTTTGCATCAACCGACGCAATTGCTACCCCATTCAAAACCATATCAACATCCAAATTTGGCAACCACGTACGATATTAAATCGTCGTCTATGCACGTTGCACAACTAAACGCAATCATCGGTCATAGCAACAATATCAGCGGTAGTAATTGCCATTCATCGAATAATCAAACGAAAATCAGCTCGCTAACTATGAGCCAACTGAGCACAGTTTATGCAACAAAAAGACGGCGTAGAAATGGCAAAAGGTAAGTCACATTCAATTCAAAACATTTCCCATAACTCTTGAGCATTTCAAAGCGAGTGATTTTTTTATTCACTTTTTTTCTCATTCTTTTTAATGAAATTCAGAAGCAAAATCATATTTGTTAAGAAAAAAAAAATTAAAATCCAATAAGTACTTCAATAAACATTAAATTTTCTTATTCGAACTTGAAAAAATGATAGTGTTGAAAATAAAGACATTTAACATCATTAGCGAGAATGCTCAGGAGATATGATGTTTCCTTTATAGAAAAAAAAAATTGATATTTTCTTTCATATTTGCATCCGTTCAAACAATGCAATATCATATTTCGTGATCGAAATCCTCTTCTCGTGTATTCAGATTAAAGTGATTGATTAAAGTGGACGTGGTATTTAGTGTTTGGGGAATAAAGAAACGCGGAACACGTGTAAAAAGTGCATAAAATACCAGAAGCTTGACGATCGTTCATCATTTTTTGTTCCATCGAACGTTGAGTCGGTGTCTCAAGACATTTAATATCTTGGGCAGCGTGTGCGATGCATTCAAGTGTTGTGCGTTTTGGCAAAACGAGTGAAAAGGGCCAAATGTGTGATTTTTTTTTTTTCAGCATAGTGTGTTTGCAGCGTATGTTCGTAAAAACGTAAAGGTCCGTTGAAAAAGTGAAGAGCGAAAAAAAAAATCCTAAATTTTTTGGCATGTTTGAACAGCAAAAAGTTGTAATTCCTTTTTATCTCTTTTTCGTCAGTAATAAAAAAAAAACTGAGATACCGAATGGACCAGAAAATTTGCTTGAACTCAGCGAAGAGTGAGTTAAGTAATATCGCGTTAAATTTGAAGAAAAAAAAAGACGCAATCTTTTGAAAACTCACCAAACAGTGAAAACCGTTTGAATTTTGTTCGATGCATTTCTTGTTGCGGCTACTTGAATTTACCGAGAAAACAACGCGACTACAAAGAGCGGACAAAGACAAAGGGAACTTATTTTTTTACCATCACGAGCACGGGGTTGTCCGTTATTCGATTACGACACAACGAAATTGGCTACAATGTTTGAAAAATTGATTTCAATGTTCATTAGTACATTCAGAAAATTTGTTAAATAGCGCTAATCATAAGGTCTGATGATTAATCAGAATGTTAATCCGCTCATGTTGTGTGCACGCTCACACTTAATTGCAAACCGTATCTGTTTCGCCTTTTCTCTTGCGGCCGTCGATTGCACACAACCGAAACAAGTTGCAATTGAAAATTGGCCCGCGCAAAAATTCCATTCAAACATCCAGAACTATTTAATTATTGCGTTTTATCAGCTACTTGATACGTTGCTTGAGAATTGAGAAAAATGAGGTAAATCTAAACAAATTATGGATCGTTAAAATACCTCACTGGTTCGGTCCGGCTGCAATTCACATGATACCAATTGTAACGAATGATTTAAGCGCATAAGCGATGTGTGGTTTTTTTTTTATTCGCTTCTCGCAAATTATTATTTATTTTCATCAATTTGTGAAATGAAAATGCAAAATCGAAATCGCATCCATACATCAAGTGTGTTTGAGCGATTCACCGTAATGAATGCATTTATTTCATTTTGATCCTATTATCAATCATCACCTACCCATTTGGAGCCACCGTTTGATCGGCTTGGGATTGCGTGCAGAAGAACCATATGATTCTCGATTCGAGGGATTTGTAGCAGTGTACTTGCGTTTGACACAGACTGGACTCTCTTTCTCTCTCTCTTTCGCTGTGTGTACACTGAAATTTCACCCCATAGCCCAGGTAATGAAGAAAAATCGCTAATCAAATATACTTTGCCATTTATATAAATACGGAGTAATTAAACTTTTGCGTAATCGGCACTCGTCTCGAACAGATCGTTTGAAATAGATTTGCTTGGTAAATATTTGGTTTGTCGTAAATGTTCGCGTAGTTCTCACGACGCAAAATCCATCCAACGCATTTCGTTGGCGCACCATTCAGTTGACTTTTCTATGCATAATTGAGAAAATTACATTTCGCTCAATTTCATTCCATTTCCCGGCTCTCCGTGTGTGTGTATGTGTCGTGCAAGAGTAATTAAGTTATTTACATTTGAAAACAAGAAAATGATTTATGACGGCCAAATGGAAAAAAAATTATGGAGAGAATTTCGAATTCGAACGAGAAAACACAGCATTTGATTTGTAACCAAATGAAGTATTGAAAAATTGGCTCAAGTATATTGCATTCTTGCATTCCGAGGTGCTACTTAGTGTTAACGATGACGATGACGACAGCGACGGCCACTGTACCGTGATTCTCAGTCGCGACCGAGACGCAATCAAAGTTTGCGCACTTGGTAAAATATGAAAAATGCCCACAATCACAAGCAATTAGTTTTCGCTTTAATCGTCATTGCTGGTCTGCTTTTCTCTCTCTTCCCGCTCATTCATTCTTATTTTTTCTCCATCGGCGTGGAGTGTTCAGGAGGTGCGTCTATCTGCGATAAGCGATATATAGGTTTCATTTCTGCTGAATCATTTCGAATTTAACGATATACTCTGCCATTTCATTCCAATAACAATGTACCTGAATCGCCACAGCTCGGCACATCATTTGTTTGAAACCAATTCTCATTTGGTTTAACGTCCGAGCAACATTTAATAAAAGCAGAAAAAAACTATGGAATCGGCATTGAAACCGTCGCGCACACAGTGGCCGAATGAAAAAGAAAAAGATTGCAAAACAAACAAACGGATGAACGACGGTATTCTACGATTCTCAACACACAAATTGCGAAGATGAAAGAACGAATGCCAAGCAATTACGTATTCAGATTGCTCTGAGAACGATTCGAACGATCCAGTGCAAAAATGTTATCTGTTTTAATTTTTCGACTTCTTTTCTCTCTACTTTTGAATGAGCCGAGACAAATGAGTTCTATGAGAAAATCAATTGAGTGTGGAATATTGATGTGATACCATTAAAAAATTGATTTAAAAGTGCTGCTAGAAAAAAAAGTTAATGAAATATCATATAGAAACTGTCATCACCTCCTCATGAGCATGGATTAATTTGGTAGGCGATTTTCTAAATGGAATAACGGGATTGGACACAAATCTGCGTGAAGAAAAACTGCACGAATGATCTCGGTGTTTTTCTTATTGTTGCCTGGAGTAACGGGTCTTGGGATTTATGTTACACATTTATGATTCCTTCGGGCGTTTCTTGTTTTCGATCTTTTTTCGAATTTGCTTTTTCGTTGCGTAGGCATTTCTCAAGGAGCATAGATTTAGGAGGCCGTCAACGGAAACTGAAAGCATTCTTTAATGATGATTGTAACTTAATTACACTTGTTTTGATTCATTTCTTGGCTACTATGTGTGTGTTTTTTTCTGCTGTCGCGAACACCGCGTCTATTGGTATTTTAATTTCTTGGGATCGTTCATCATACTTTCATTAAAATGCCTGCGGTTAAATACATACAATGAGCCTTCAAAAACCATCCAGAACACCACCATTCACTTCTTGCATCAGTTCATTTCCTTCTTCCTCTAAATTCTTGTGATCCAATGATATATTTGAATGAATATATCTGCGGTCGATTTCTGTAGCAGTGTATCAATTCCCGAAATTATTCTCATTACAATTAATTTCGAATTAGATGGATGAATAGGATGAACAGATATCGCTGCTCTTTCTATCCATTCTTTGTTTTTTTCATTTCGTACAGAATTGCCTATGTCATTGCAAAAGAAACTTTGGACAATTGAACAACAAAACCATCAAATCAATTAAATCATTACAATAGATACATTAAATCATATCCATTTGCTATGCTCAAACAGTAATCCCAACTGTTTCAAGGTTTTCTTAAAATGCATAATATTCGATATTGAGTTACATTTCACAGTTCTCCATTTATTCAGTTTTGGTTTTGTCAATCAGTACAGATTGATCCATCTAGTGAGAAGGAGACTCAGCTCAAAATGAATTTATTTTGTGTAACAGCAAATGCTATCATTTTATTGCTACCCATTCAATATAAGGTAAAACTAAAATTTAAAGCAGTAAACTATTTCTTTCGAAGTCAGTAATGAATAAGTCATTCTCGTGCTGAAATTTAAGACTGAAGCATGTCTCGATCTTTTCGACTGCGATGACGATGATGATGATATCAGAAACAACTATCCGTACCCTGGCTATCCAGCAATTGGTGGAGGTATCGGATTTCCTTCGTTCCCTCGACCAAATGTAACAACCAGTAGAATTGGTGAATTGTTTCAAGAATTACGCGATCTTTTGCGAAGATAATCTTTCCATTACGAAATTGCAGACCTCTGCAACATTTATTTAATAGCATAATGGCTTCAATAAACTAACTGTGAAGTGTTTAAGTGAAATCTTTAAAAAAAAAGTTATCATTTTTGAAGATGTAAATGTCGTAATGATGGTTTTGAATAAATCTTTCAATTTCAGTGATACTGTTCCAAAAGGCACGCACAGTACATAAGAGCTAATGCAAAAGTCATTTGATACGCATAAGTAGCGCCACCTCTAATGATTGCGGAGAGTTACCATAAGTCGTATGTAATTGATGTTGAGAATATGAAGAAGAAGAAGTAGACATTGTATACATTTACATTGCAATAATGGCAATCAGTAGAGATGGTGCTCATGTGCCGATCAAATCACTGTTACAGCCCTTCGTACTGTTCCAATGTCGAGTCAAATATGTCAACAATTTTGTATTGAGTCTGTGCTGTATACACTTTGAAAGTGATATTTGTTCCAATTAAATTCAAATTAGACTTCAACAACTTGCTAACGTCATGCCTTCTGTTTGCGTCTTTTTGAAACCAATTGCTTTTGTTGGTTGACTCAAGACAATTGAGCAACAAATATTGATTCAAATGAATAAAAATAATAATGATAATGCCAACTGAACACATCTACAAAATAGAGAGACCTTCAAGAAAATTCTTTGGATTTAAAGTAATTCAAATGATTTCAGGGTTCCTAAATAATACCGATTGAAAAGATGAAAAGGGCTATAAAAGCAACAGTCATTTTTTCTACTCAAGTTTTTAATCGAGATTCACTAGACAAGTACGTTTCCATTCGATCAATACAAAGAAGTTTTCAAAATGAAAATATTTTGGTCAATTGTGTTTGTTTGCATTCTATATCTGTTCGTTCAATACGAGGTAAATTGTAATATACTAGTACAACCGCTCGATAAAGTTCTGAAAGTCCTTACCTTCTGATAATGAATAATTTTTCTGCATAATTATAGCAGGCAGATGCGTGCTGGGATTGTTTTTGTGATTATGATTCTTATGGATCAAGAAGATCTTCGCGACGAGTAAGTTGGCCAGTACGACCTAAACGAGCTAATTCTACCAGTAAATCAATAACATAATATCAGTCGCAGCAATGACCACGAAACCACGCACGCTTCTCAAAACCCTTGATTAAACTAATAAATTTTATTTCAATGGTTTCAAATGAGATCGAAACTAAATTTGACACATTCTACTGTATTAAATTTTGCCACCAAAAAATATCATTTCAGAATAATTCTGGTTGAAATTTCCATTTCATTGGAATTCAAGTGTTTAACAAAACTCATTAAGTTGTTTCCAATAAAAAAAATCGTTTTAAAAATCATACAAGTGTGTTGCTTTAATAACTTTCATAATTGGAAATTCGACTTTTCTCCGAACTCTTGCGCCAGTTCGATTTTACATCCTTTGTAGTGAAGATGCTACCTAAAATGTGGATATTTTCTACCGTTTTATTTCTGTACTTGTTTATTGTTCAAGAGGTATTAACGAATTTGGCACCAATTAATTTTGCAGTTAATCACAAAATGAATAATTCGATTTAAAAAAAAATATATGAAAAAGTAGATAAATGGATGCTTTGAAATAACCCGATCAAGAAGACGGTCCCCCCAAGTGAGATGGCCTACTGTCGTCAACTCTAATACTACGAATCCAATGACCAGTGGCAAAGTTGTAAGACGTGCATTGAGAATATCAAGAACTACCAACAAACCGTATCGAGTGACAAATTTGAATCGTTTTGGACGCAGTCGACAAATATTTTGATACTCAACAATTTTCATCTCAAAATTTGCTATCATCATTTTATTGCAATTCGCTGAATTGCCGATATTATAAAGATTCAAATGTAAAAATTACATCAAATTAAAAACCGACATTTACATTAACACATGCTGCTCCAATTATTTCTTTATAATTAGTTCTGAATACTAATTGGAAATTTGCTCGCAATTGTTTCATCAGTTCAATTTTACACGTTTTGCAGTGAAGATGCTACCTAAAACGCGCTCACTTCTGTGCGTTTCCATTTTCTACTTGTTTACTATTCAAGAGGTATAAATAATTTTCACATGGGAAAATGTGTTTGTCAAAAAAAAAAAAATGATTCAATTTTATAAAACAAATAATTTAAAAAACTAAATAGATGAAAGGATGCTTTGACCTAGTGCCATCACGACGAGTGGCCGCACCAAATGGTTGGCGCATTGCAAATAGAGTGACCAAAAATGTTGCTCGAGTGCTGAAAGCAATACCACGGCCAAAAATTACAATCAATGGCTTGCCGAATATTGCAGACTTATTGCATCCATTCCTTCCGAACAGTTCCAGTGTTCCAACGGACGACACTGATGATTTGCAAAGTTTGAGTGATTTCGCCAAAGTGTCGAATGTACGAAATGATCGAGCATCACGTAATAAAAATGAAAATTCAAAACGAAACCCAAAACAGACAAGAAACAAGAAAAAACCTTATCGCATTACCAACTTAAACCGATAACCAATCAAAGCTCAAAGTGACGATACAAGATAACATTTTCACCTACAGAAAGAAAGAAAAAAACAACAATAAAAATCTAAATTTGAAAAAGTACTAACAACAAAAAGTCAGCTAATAGCATAACGTTTTTTATTAGCCCTAAAAATGTCAAACACATAGTCAAGCACTACTAGCTAGAGTAAAAAAAAGAGAAATGTTCATAAGTAGGTAGACTATTTTATAGTGAAACGTTACCTTTTTTGTCGATACAAATAAACACAGTTTAAGCGTAATTTTTATCCTCTCATTTTGTGACATTACTGTCGAATTGGTCGATGCTAAAACATGTAGCGAAGGTGGCTAATCGAAAAAGGGTTATTTAGGGATAAAGAAAATGAGATAAACATTTACTACAAACCGCTAAATGACAAATGAAAAGAGACTCTCTCTTCTTTATCCAAAAATGAACGTGACTCCAAATGTGACTACAGTATAGCTGTCGATGACCTTTGCATACTATCCGTGTGTGTAAGTGCAATATTTTCTGTATATGCCGAACAGACAATAATCGAAACGTAATTACACCTTTTTTTGGCAAACAAAAGATTTAATTTTACAACTATTCTCCAAATTTCCCTGACAAAATTCTAATCTTTGTTCACCTTTCGTGTGCGCGCCAGGTAAAATTTAAAAAGAAATCATATTTGCCGCACATTAATAGATTTGCATTCTTCCCTCTTTCTCCATTTCTTGTTATTTGCCAAAAATAAAATGCAACATGTGGCCGTCCCTTTCTGTCCCCATACACTCTGTGTGTCTAACTGTCACATCGAAATCACAGCGACAGCGTCTCACTACCTGCGGCTTGTGTTTGTGAGCATTAGTCTGTATGACACTCACACACACACACACAGTGTATACCATTGCTCTCACAACGTGTTGAGCGAAATAATTCCAAGAATGTTGTAAGCAGTAGCAAATGAACATTTGTGCGAAGTGATTTGTTGGAAGACACACAAGCACACAGAGGCACCGAGAAATGTCAAACACGATCTAATTACCCATATATTTATTGAAATACCATTTTCGTCCTTACATTTAGTCTTAAATTGTGTGTCGAGCAGAGATGTTAGCTTATATAATCAAAAAAATCATTTTTTTAATCATGTGCGGTGCTTTTTTGGGCAATTTGTGCACAACAATGTCAATAAGTGAGAAAAAATCGAAAGAAAGCCAAGCGATAAAGAACTGTGAGCAATTGTCAGTGAACATATTGCGACGACTGCACGGGCCAGCATTTGATGCTCGTTACATGAGTATAACGCAGCCATCGGATGATGACGATAGCATATCAGATCCATTGGATACAACGGGTCGCAAACGAAATGCCGATTCGAAACGGCCATCATTCTACATGACAGGTGATCATACTGAAGTGTTGAGTGAAGAACCGGCATGGAACATTGAATGGGAATCATTTGAAACAAAAATCACAAGTCAAAAACGCCGAAAACGAAGCCTATTACCAATCGGTGAGGATCCAACCAAATCGGTACACCAACAATTGGATACATTGAACCGAAGCAAACGACAAATTCGAGCACGCAACGAGCCATGGCAATGCGAAAGGAAGGTTAAATGGATAAACCTTGGAGACGATTATCATCCGTCTCATTTACGAAGTGTCGAATGTACGCAGCCGAAATGCTATTACAATATGTATGACTGTAAGCCAAGACATTTTGCCGTTCGAATATTGCAGCGACGTCGAGGTGCGTGTGCAGACGCAGCCAGTCTCAAAACCTATGGATTTACGGGCGAATATGCTGAAGTTTGGGAATGGGTTGAAGTGGCCGTCAATTTCTGTTGTGATTGTGTCGCATCGAAGAAATATTATTAGATTTAGTCAAGAGGAGACGAGACGAGAAAAAAAGAACAATGTTTAGTGTATAGTTTTGATTCATTTTTTTATGTGTGCGATATCTACAAATAAGTTAAAAACCAAAATATACTCTGACGTATATTCATGTTGAAATGTCAAATGTTTGATAGGCTTTAATGTTTGTTTAGTCTAATAAAGAATAATATTCGATTTTTACATGTCCTATTCTGTACATTCATAGCGAAAGTCTCTTGTTTATTGATTTTAACTTGACTTATTCATTGATTACGCAGCTTCATTGTCACCAGATCAATGTGACTTGTGTGTTTGCATTGAGTACGACACTTTTACGTTTACATTCCAATGTATTGAACTTATTTCTTATGTATACTTTTTTTTTGCTGTCAGTTTCGTTTGTTTTGATTGACAATAGCGTTTTTTCTTCTTCATTTGTGAAAACAATGGGATCGCTCAACAATACACATTCAAAATGTGATGCTACTATTGAATAACGGTCTATCACGCACATTTTTTCTAACTCCAAAAACAGTTGCTCTTGTTCTGTCCAACCGAGAAGTGTCGTTGAAGAAGAAAAAAATGAATTGCGGTGGATTTGTAAAAATGAGCCAAATTTTGTTGACTTTATTCTTGATCGCCAGTGCCCAAGTGAATATTTTGTTGTAATTTTTTCCTTTCAAAATAGGTGTAAATAATTGTTCCTTCATTTGTTCTATCAGGCAAATACGTTATCACTTTTGGATCTACTTTTCGGCCGTCAGTTTGTTCCATTGCCAGTGAAATCATTTCCTCGTGGAACGTACAATGTGCCTCAAGCCACATCATACTATTCCGGTGTGTTTACACCATTTACGCATTTTTTGCGGGATATCGCAAATGTGCTAGATGGAGTCATTCCGAATAATTTTAGCGGCCACCAATTACAATTGCAACAGCCAACCAGGACAAACAACAATCAAAGAGTGAAGCAACAACGGACAAGAGGCTGATGTGTATTCAAATGTTGAACGCTCCGTTTCAAATTATGCCGTTTTTAGCCTTGAAATTAAGATCAATTTGAGGATAGAATAAAAGAAGGAATTTTTTGGAACACGATTTAATTCATGGTTATTCACCATCAAATTTGTCTGTCATTAGTCAAACACTGTGTTTTAATACGCCGAAGAATTGCTGCAAAAATTCAATACCCGACAATATTTTCGTTTTGAACACTGTCTACATTCGGTTCAAGCAGTTAACTGTTTATCGCATTCCAACCGAATCAAATTGTATCACCGTTATTAAAGGCGCAAAATTAAATGATATTTTAATGTGAAGTGGCAATTTTCATTGATCTGGTAATTTTGGGTTTTCTCATCGCATCTAATCAATATGAATTGGTTTTTGGTTTGAGAGAGTCTTCATTTAAAAACCAATTTCTCTCACTAAATCGATGGCTATTCACTGCAATACATTTTTTATTTTTGGATTCGAACCGAGAGTCAGTCACAAGCTAAGGCTAACATTTCAGGTCTTTGTGTAACTGAATACAAGATAAACATGGAAAAAAAAGAGAAGGAGAAAGAAGAAGCGATAGTTAGCATCGGCACCGTCAGCAAGTCAGCATAACAATATAAATAGGTATCGATCGTATGTGGCCGACGAAAGAGAAAAAAGAAAAAAAAAACATTCCACACAATTAAGTGTGCGTATAAAACGAACGGAGAATTCGCGAATAGTTGTTGTTGTTTTTTGTGTGTTTTTGACTCTCCGTTCCTTTTTTTTGTATATGAGTATGAGTATCGCAACGAGAGAAGAAAAAAAAATATATCATAAGATGATCATCGAACGGCATCTATTTAACCATGTTATTTTTATTTATTGCATTTTGGCTTTTGTTTCCACTCATCTCATATGTAGCGTTTGATTAGTCTGTTTTTTGTTTCGATGCATTCGGTTGTTAGATTTTATGACTTTGAAGTGATTATTTAGTTTGAATTTTTTCATTTTTCGCATCCACTAATTCCATTTCATTGGACTGATAAGCATTCCATGAGCGCAAATACTAAAACCGAATCACTGCTATAAAAATAAAAGAATTCGCAAAATTACTAATTTCTATTTTGTTGTTTTTTGTTGCTCTTCAAAAAATAACTGCGTAGAAAACATCGGGGAAAGAATCGCCAATTGTGCATCTCGTTCATAATAAAGTAATAAATATTTCGTGCTATTACAAATCTCAGTTCAGTGGAAACGCAACGGAAATAATGATGAATTATCTCGACTGGTTTTCTCGGTTGCGGCCATAGCTAATGCAAATACATTGTGCTGTTGTTCATCGATTCCGCATAAAAATCCCATTTTCGTCCATTATTCTCCCGCCGAATTAAGTCATTTGGAACGATTTCTGTACCTGTCAACCAGTTGTCAATGTTTTGAGAGAAAAAAAATTGTATTTTTCACAATTCGAATAAACAACTGGAATTTATTTATGACAGTGACTGAAAACAAGTGATTTCTATGCAAACCAATGCCCATTGTGCATTTTATTTCAGTATCTCTTTGACTGAGCATAAATTTTAATCGCACATTATCGCCCGAAACAATCGCATATGGTTTTAGTTTTTTTTTTGTATGTGTGCATGTTCGCTGTTCTTTTTAGAGAGAGAGAGAGACAAAGATAATCAGCTTAAGGTGTAAGTACAAGAAAAACGTTCTAAAAAAACCGTGTGTGTGTGTGTGTGTGTGTTTGTGGCAAAAAAAAATTGTTTCTTTCCTTTTCATTTACGCACCCAATTATTATTTATGAACGAAAAACGTCGGTGTGCGGCTAGAAAAATGGTTGTGCGCATGAAAACACATCATAACAAAGAATATTTTATCGGTTGAGCATAATTTATATGAATTTTTATTGTAATTCGCGTACACACATGCATAGCGTATAATGCATAGATAAGCACAAAATTCAAACAAATTAATATGTTAATTAGACTTATTTGATGCAATGTGCCAAGCGCAAACGTTTTTATTTTCTTCTTTCTCTCTCTTTTTCTCGCACTCTTTTTACTCTACTTTGTGCAAGCAATTCATGTTTTCAGTTTTGGTTCTTTTTTACCCGACTTTTTCTTTTCTCTGAATTGAAATATAAAATATGTGTGTTCTAACTCATTGTTTTGACTGTGTGATCAACGATTCGCATTCTTTTTCCATACTTGTCGCGAAATGGGGTTCTAAAAAGTTAACATTTTCATTGCATCTGTTCGCTTGTGTTGTGTATTCGCTGCTTCCGATGCCATTTCTTGTATTTTATTTCCACTTTATTCATATGTAATTTAAACACATTTGGATGAAGAAAACGAACAGCGCGTCTTTATATGCGAAAAAATCGCAATGTCTTTGTGTAGTTTTGCGCGCTGCACACAGAGCATGATTAACGTAATTATATATTAAGCATTCACTACAACAAGTTTACCATTAAAAGCGAGAAAAATCCGGAACATAGAACTGAATCGACTTCAACCAATCTACTACCAAACCAGACACCAATGCGCATCAGAGAGTGGTATGAATTTCAATTTACGCCCAATTACAGTCATACTACCTCAAATTGATCTCGATTACAACCGAATGAAATGCGGGAAAAATCTGATTTTCGTCTGAATGGCCATGATTCATTCGATCATGTCGGAATTATGACAAGATTGATCATTACACTGTGTTATTTCAATAAATTTCATGGTTTTATGCCATTTTAATGAATGTCTACTGTATTCTTTGTGTTGAATTGCATGGGCTTAGATGTGCTTCAGCATAGATGTGACGGCAAACTGTTTTTTTTTTCTGCTGCACAGATTAGCAGAACTTATCATTTGATATAATTTTCTCGATTTATATTAATGATTCAGTGAAGGTAAATGCAGATATGTGCCATACTGAAACCGACTTCCTCCTCCGTCTCGAACAATTCACTTTTATTATTGAAACAACTTTTACTACTTGTTAAATGTTTCCCAAGACTTATTTATCTCGCAAACAATGAAGTTATACATTGTTGCAAATTGACGCACGATGGTTTTGGTTTTGCCTTTGATTCTAATCTGGTGTGCTAAAATTATTCGTTAATTGACATGGAATAAATCATGTGAATGGTCAGACGCATTTATTTCAAAGCGGGTGCGGAACGGAAAAAAAACGTTTTTCTCCTCGAAATGAGGTTTAAAATTTCGAGTGGTAGAAATCCAAAGAAAAAAATATCTCACCCAAAATTTGTTCAATTCGTTTACTACTCCCATAGATCATTTCATAAATTGGTGGGTAAAGGTGACAGAAAAATGCAAATCGAGAAATAAATGTCAAAATGTTGATATTTGTATTTTCCATTCATTGCACAAAAATCATATATATCAATATGAAAATGCTGAGTTTATTTTGTAAAAGTTCTACTCAAAGTGGGTCGTTCTACCACAGACACATGCACAAGTTTTTTTAACGTTTTTTTTTTAAGGAAAAGAGAAGATATTTCCAAATGGTAGAGAAATGCAGTAGTTCTGATTACGTACGCTCCTTATATTCGTATTTAGTCGATTTGTTTATTTGCTATGTTCTACGAAGTTCCATTCCACTTGAAACCAGTATCGATTAAACAACAAAGGACAAAAAAAATACTTACATTATAATAGATACCATAATATCCAAAGAAGCGTTATTGCACTTGGACGTGTATAATGTATATTCATATAGCGAATGAAAAAAAAAAGTACCAGCTAAAAAAAAACTGTAAACATACTTTACTTATGATTATAATTTTCTATGCATGAGCAATCGCGCACACGGACAAAAGCAAGGGAGAAAATCGACTTTGATAGCCGTCAGTTTTTCTTCAAGTTAATTGACACTTGAAGTGATACTGAATAATATATGGGGAAGTTATGTGGAAATATCGAAATAGTTTTTAAATATCATTTAAAATTCATGGTCTTATCAAAAGATGAGTTATTCCAGCATTTGTACACGTTTAATTCTATTTGAAATGGTGTCACACGCCTGATTCACACGACACTTGAATTTCCCAAAGGCTCGGACTTCTTTTGTACATTGGACAAAAAATTAATAAGCAAGGAAAATGGTGAAAAGCAATAAATAAATCACATATCGATGAATTTCTAACGTCTTGCTCAATACATTTTATAGAAGGTGTCTTGCATCGGGCAATTTACTTGTAAAGCAGGCGACAGTTTTCACCGCATTAT